GTGGTGCTTGTGGTGCTTGTGGTGCTTGTGGTGCTTGTGGTGCTTGTGGTCGCGGTGGTGGCGGTGGTCGTGGTGGTGGTTGTGGTGGTTGTGGTTGTTGTGGTGGTGGTTGTGGTGGTTGTTGTGGTGGTGGTTGTGGTGGTCGTGGTCGTGGTGGTGGTTGTGGTGGTTGTGGTTGTCGTGGTTGTGGTGGTGGTCGTGGTCGTCGTGGTGGTTGTGGTGGTTGCACCGTCTGCAGCAGAAGTGGTGGTCTCTACCGTCGTGGTCGTCGTGGCTGTGGTGGTTGCAGCGTCTGTAGCAGAAGTGGTGGTCTCTACCGTTGTGGTCAACATGGTGGTCGATGTAGTTGTCGTCGGGGTGGTTGTGGGCAACCTTACATGTGAACATACACACAGCTCCAAATAAGAACTCTGCGGCTGCGGCATGAAAAGGAATCCCGGGATTTATCTAAATGAACCTGAACCACCCTAACTTGCGGTAAAAGTGAAGTTCTTCAAACCACTACCCCGTGTCAGTCATGAAAGTTAGGGTTTGGGTTTCAATCCTCTGCCAGCCATCGCCAGGCCACCTTTGGACAATGTGCTCACAATAGAAATCGTGTGTAGAGATGCCCTTGTCCTCGCTGCAGCCTTGACAAACTGCAAACTGATAAGACGATGGTTGGTTGTCCATGTCGCATGCCTCGCAGCAGGTGTCTCTGTTTGCGGGGCACTCCGATTCGCAAGGATAAACCTTTAGACTCATTGGCCAAGGCTGTGTCTGTGCAGAATCTGATGGACATTCGCTGCCATGACATAGGGACCAAGCAAGGAAGGTGGCTGAGACATATGCCCACGCCCGCCACATGGTGCACGTAAGGGAAGGCTCGTCGAATCTGGGAAAGCGAGGAAGGTGAGATCTGAAGCAAAGTTCTTCCCTTGAGCTGAGCACTACAGTGAGGGATGCCATACGTTTCCGGAACGAACCCAAACCTCTCCCTGTGGCCAAGGTGTCCGTCTATGCTCCATAGGCTTCCTGGTAATTAGGCCCTTTCTATATACTCGGAAGTGATTGAATATTCTGGAACAAGTTTACCATGTTACGAGCATACTACGAGCAGTTATAGTCATCAATCGTCGATGGAACATTTGATGAACTCTTACTTCTGTGGGCTTTGGACACTTTGGGGCCAAACAAAAACACGCGGCTCTTTTCAGCACACAAGCTTCCTTCCCACCCAGAAGAACTCCCAAGTGCCCGTACCACCCGAGTCTCTGCCTCCCGAAGCTCCTGGGCGCGGTCCATGATCGTCTCGCCATCGCGGAGGGTTTCGATCATCTTGGCATACTCCTGACGTCTCTCGGGTGGCACCAGAGCAGAACAAGTCACCCGTCGACCCTCCTCTAGACCCGGAATGGCACGAAGAGTGAGTGACCGGGTGATTTTCATGGTGGTAAATGATGGTCAATGTATACCAGGACCCCCTGGTCCGGCGTGTCTATTGATAGCCCCGAAAAGAGGTTATATAAGGGGTGTCTATGAACCAGGCTTGTGGGTCCTGGTCCCAGACACTCCATGGGACTGCCATAGGACTGCCGAGTGGCACGGCCAGGGGTGGTGCCAGACAAGTCGGGGCGGCAGTCCGGACCGGCAGTCCCATGGAGTCTATTGGGGTTATCTGTTTACTTGCTACAATTTACTTACTTACAGTCCGGACCAATTCGGAGCCGGACCAATTCGGAGTCTTTCGTCCTGAGCACCACTGGAGCCCAGTACCCGATGCTGGATGCGATTCAATGCTTCGAAGCTTCGAAGTGATGAACTCAACAGTACTCAGTATACCTAGCCGTATATTTATATACAGTACTGCATATTGCAGAAGCCTTCAAATCCATGCATGCCTGCAGGACTGGCTGCCGGATATATGGATTTGCTGGTGACCTGTGCGGAGCTTTTTCACCGCCACGTCCTTCACTCGTCTTCCTCTGTCTCGTCTTCTGTCTCGTCTCCTCTAAGAAGATCAACATGTAAAGCGCGTAGGGCATCGGTCTTCCTGGAATCGTCCCAAGCTCAGCCTGACGAGGCCGAGACCGGGATGGGCGGAAGAATCGAGTGGGGTGCCATGAGTGTGGGTGATATTCGACCTAAACCATCTAAAACCCCTCTCTTCGACCTTCTGGGGGGCGTTGTTCTTTCTATTTGGAACATCGAGCGGCTCATTTGAGGAAGAGAGTTGTCTAATTGCCCCATACCATTCTGGCTTGCATTCAACAAATGCCAAATTAGCGGACGATTTGTTCCACTGAAAACGCCAAGAAGAAGAACAAAGAAAGGAAATGAATTGACTATAAATCATGCCAAATCGTAGGCGCCCTCTTCTTCCACAAAGGCTCCAAACAACCCTTGGATCCTTCAAACCCTAGGGCTCCTGGCCCGCTCCATCTCCTCAGGTTCAGTGGTATTCGACTCAGTATTCGACCCCCCTGGCACCCACCCCAGTCCCACCTTCTCAGGAGGTTAGAGCCCAGGGTCCCTGGTGAAGGTGAACCAGCATCCATTGACCCTTCGCTGCCGGGCGACCGACCGTGCGGACCGTGCGCTGCGCTGCGCTTGGCGCCCGCACCACACGCCGCAGCAGCTGGAGACGAAGAGGGAGCTCGCCAGTGATGAGGTGGCGCTGAGAGCAGAGTGAGACTGGAACTCACATGGACGTGGACAAAAAGCTCCCCTGCTTGTAGAGGATGTTTTGTTTTCCAAGGGGCCATTCTCCACTTCCATGTTAGTTCCAGGGAGTGATAACCATCCAGCAAATTCAATCTGACCAAAGTTCAAAGTGGAACAGCTGGCGTAGAAGATGCGATTCACTGACCCCAATAGCAACCCAACCAGGTTGCACCCATCAACTGACTCTGGCATTCGCTCCCTGTTCTTTGGGTGGTTGTTGATGGGTTTATTTGTTCAACTTTGGGCTGCCTTGCGGCAGTGGAGTTGGTCACCATGCGGATCCACAGGAGGATGGCGGATCCACAGGCGGATCTCTTTTGAAAAAGAAACGATTGCACTCCTCTTCGGCCCCTCAAGAGATCAACATCGAACGCTTGATCCATCTTCCCCAGTCCTGAAAGGCTTTCCAGGTGGCAGCGAGTCTGCAACCCCTCTGGGGGGGGCCACAGGAGGTGCATTCCCAAACCAGCGAAACAAACACAAAAAACACATTGACCGAGGAACTACATACAGGAACAAACTGTTCAAACTAACCATCAAGACCCTCTTACAGCTTCTCATTTGCTTTTTGACATTGTCTTGAAAAAGACGCACCAAAAAAATGGCTGCTTTGCGCATCCTTCGGCTTGCATCTTCACCTGATTGATGGGCTTCTGAGTTTGTGAAACGAAACCGACGCCAGCAAGGTCACGCGACACACCGACAGCACAGAGCGCCTGAAGATCTGGAGCTGCCTTTTCCAGACGTGCACATTGTTCCTGGTGGGCCTGGTTCGCCCGTGGGAAGGCTCAGAACCTCCGCCCCAGAAGTTCTGAGTTCTTGGTGCAAGGTCGGACTGTTTGCTGTTGGGCTGGCTTCTGCACGGTGCGGATGGATGGTTTGGATGGTTTGGGGGTGGGCTTTTCAGATCCGTGACAGGTCGGGTCGGCGAGTGGAGTTCTTCCCCCGCTGGCCCGGGTCCTGACCGGGGGGGTCTCTGTACGTTCGCACATCTGACGGTTTGAGAGCGATGGAGACACGGAGGCTCCGGAGCCTCTGCGAACATCCGAAGTAGAAGCATGAGTTGTTCTACTACTGGGTGGGATCACAACCCAAGGTGTGCCCGGCTGTGCCCAATCATTTGTAATTGCCCTTGCATTGCCGGCCTCCCCATCCAGCAAGAGTTCTCCTGCCTTCAATGAAAGCCAAAAGCGGTGGGGGTATGGGCCGACATCACCTGTTGCTTTGACTACCCACATGTCGGTTTCTCTCTCAAATGAAGAGGCCTCTCCCAAACACTATCTTTTCAATGTTGTTCCAAGATCATGATGGTGTTTGACAGGGTCCATGACAAACGCACCATCAAACACCTGCCCACATCGAAACGTAGGAGCACACCTCATCATCATCCTCGGCTGGTCTGGTGTTGCGAAGGTCCTGCGTGCGCGCGCACAAGCGCGGGCTCAATGTATATACCCCGGCAAACTAACATAGAATCTTTACATAGAACCTGAGAAATGACCGGTGAAGAGTTTTCCGTGGAATCGTGCAGACAAAAATGGGCTCGCTGTCAAATACCTACTCAGTCTATTCTACCCATCAACATCAATCGGCTAAGAGTGGCCGCCCCAACAACACTCTGGTCAAAATGAGATCAACACAAAAAGAACAAACGCGGGAGTCAAAAGAACCCAATGTAAGCATTCAACGGGAGGTTCCAAGTTGTCTTCTTTTGGCCACGGCCACCGGTTCCAGAATTGCCACGAAACCAAGCAGATCTGAGAGCGACGAGCAATCGCAAGTATCTATTGATGTTCATCTCCCCAAAGATCAGTCCAAGTGTTGTGTGGCCTTGTTAGGGGAGGGTGTTCCTCAGTGTTTATTTGAGAAAGAAATTGGCGTGAACATGTGTGAACTACATACAATATTCTTGGGGGGTCTATGACAGATTCAGGACCCAACCGCACACGTCTATGACGGAACGATGCACAAGTTTTCCACTCCTCCACGTTCAGAGTTGAGGACGCACAAAGCCCAGGCCGTAGATCATTCCCAACGTCCCGGTGCACTTGCGCCACTGAGCAAAAAGTCGCTCCTTCAGCAGTTCCTCAACCTCCTTGCGTGTCAGCCCGCTCGAGCTGCCAGCACCGCTGTAGGATCCGGCCTCCTGCTGCGAGGCTGCGAGTGATGCAAGCATCTGTGGTAAAAAGCTGTTGCCCAAATCTGTTGACCATTGTTGACCCATTTGAGACATGGACAAAAAGATCCAAAGGCAGGCTGTTTCGGGGTATACCAGTACCCATGTTGGGGAGGCTTCAAGATGGGACCAGGGACCAGGTGAAGCACCCAAAGCGTCTCGACGCCTCCGCCTCCGCCGTGAGGTCCGTGGCGAAGGTCCTGGCCTGTCCGTGGACACGGCCGAAGGACTCGGAATCGGACTCTGACCACCCGATGTCGAAACAAACGAAGGGAAACGGATGGAAACGGCGTCTTCGAACGATTTCACCTTCTTCCACGGGGAGGTGAAGTTTCAGCAGGAGGTCCTTCCTATTTTAATTGATGGGTGCACCCAGTGGTTGACACTGCTACACAACTGCTACGCTGCCACGTGACATTTTACTTGGTGAGCGTGAAAACCACCCCACACCTCGTCCCTCGCAGTGACGGAGGATAGGAAAGCAGGGTGACGGAGGAGCCACAGATGGAATGCCCAAGCGAATGCCATGAGTTTCCAACAAAGGTTGAAGAACCCTATTATAGGCTATCCTAGTTCAGGTCGCTTAACCTCTGTTGGTTGAACGCTCTTTCAGTGACCCATTCCTGTGTTTCATTCTTACTCCAACCAGGAATAGATATGTGTTGCGTCCGCCGTTCGCCAACGTAATCAAAGCGCACAACATCGGCGGGTCCCGGCGGAGGTGCTTCTCCCTTGGAACACCGGCCGACCCGCCGCCGACGGCCGATGCGGCGCCCAAGTGTCTGGGGAGGCGATGTTGGGTGTGTACCAACAGAGGTTGAAGAACCCGAACTAGGCTATCCCAGTTCAGTACTCAGGGTTACGGGTCCTAGTTCAGGTCGCTATTCACCTCTGTTGAACAAGACATCATCCCCAGCCGCCAACGGGTTCTAGATTCTACATGGTTCTACCGTCCGCGGAGCCGCCTGCAGACCAGCCGTCCGTGACCCGCCGTGAACGGCGCCTGGCACGACCCGCTCGACCGTCTCAGATGTGTTGGGGTTCACCCAAAAGCAATGGAAAGACCATATAGGACCCTGTAGTAGTGGTACATATGGGATAGGCTTGATAGGCTATAGGGCTGTTCAACCTCTCTTGGAATGGAAAGGGTTTGTTTGGGGTCCTAGACTTCTGTGGAGGGTGTGCCCTATGGAGGTTGGTGGTGCTTCTCATCACCCAGTCGCTTAGCTCATCCCATATTGGCGGTGAGCTCATCTTGCATCTCACACTAGATAGCTCTCATAGCTGTGGAGGCAAACATGGCATCTCTGCCACGATCTTGGAAGTTCCTATCTTCAAAAGCTACTTAAGATTGTTTTGCACAAAGTATGCAGATCCTGTTTGAGTTCCTAGAGTCCGTATGTTGTACCTCAAATAAACGTCATGTCTCCATTAGTTCGAAGCTCAGCAGGACTCCACCGGGTCCCAAAGGAATGATTCAGTCGGCTTGCTCGAACATGATCCCTTACGTGCTCAGTCAATCCGCAGGTTCCCACGGTTGCCCCAGCTTGGGCACCACGATCACCACGTAGGGATGGTCATGATGACTTATGATGACATGATGCGAAAGGGATACTAGACACAGGGCACCATAATGACAACTGGCCATACTCCCCTGCTATTCGGACCACATGGAACCCCAAAACCACTGGGTTGGTATTCGGAAAATGGTCGAAACCTTCTATGGGATCGTTTGCGGGGGAGTCTCTGGCCATGCTTTCCCTATATACACCATGTGAACCCCTGCGTCCGGAGTAGATCCGCATCCCGCGTCCAACGCCTGGAAGGGATCGAACCGCATCAGTTCTCCTTGGTGCGAGGACATCGAAGCGCGGATGCTACGAATAGATCTTGATTCTTGATGATCATTGATGTGATGTATCTTGATATATGTCGACACTACATACCTGGGTATGAACATGATATATCTTGATGATCCATCCACTACCCTTCAAACTCACCATTGGTTCTATATATATATATACAGTATTATACTTTTTTGACTATCTGCTGCCAACCTGGTATGTCAGCTCTGCAGCTCTTCACCAGATTTACTGCTCCAACTCCAGGCTACGAAGATGTTCTTTGCATTCAGCACATGTTCTTCAGGCTACAACAAACTGAAGCTCAAGAATCTGCCATCCACGAAGCTACAATCCCACGAAGCTGGAAACGCGACATCAAGTGAAGCTTTCATGGACCCAAGGGAGGGATTCTTCCGCCCAAACAAACGTCGTCTCAATCAAAGCTCCATGCGATCCATCGATGGCGAGTTGGTTGGGTCGTCCATCCGATCTCCATCTCCGAAGAGCCAGATGGTGAGATGGAAGATGATGGAAGTATATACGCTCTGGGGCGACTCACCAATGACTCGTCCATCAGTTCACAAAGAAAAACTTGAGAAACCAAGGAAAACCAAACCAAACCGAACACATCTGGTCACATGGATTGTCAAACCAAAGCCGAGCCGTTTTCTGTTTCCTCCTTTCCTCCTCAGCAAGCTGTGGTGACTCGTGCCCGTCAGTGGTGAACATCTGCTCAAAGAAACCGTGAACACGACTGAGCGGCCAGTTCACCGTGAACCCATCTTTATGTAAATCGCGAGCTGAGCACCGCACCATGTGGCGCTTCGAGAAGTCGCGTGAAGCCAAACACGTCCCACCTCACGGGCGATCGCGGGATGCTTCAGGGTTGGGCGGGCGGTTGGCCGCTCTCCCATGTTGGGGTCCATTTGAGGGCCGGGGTGCCGCTCTCCTTTCATTTTTGAGGTCCATCCTTCATGGACTCCAATGCTAGTAGGATGGAGGCTAGTGCTAGTAGGTTGGAGGGCATTGCCGGCATTGCTAGTAGAATGCACTCCAAGTACTGAAGAGATCACATCGTTTGGGGCAGCCAAACTCTTCCATGCTTCGAAGCACGGCTTCACAGCCTTGGGAACATCCCCAAACGAAGATGGTCCATCGTCCCCAAATGAATAGAAACTGCGTCGAACACATGCTGCAAGGGGATTGACAGGTTCTTTCTCCATTCGAGTCAGTCAGTATAACTACTTGACTTGTATTGGTGTGTTTCCGACGTTGCTTTGCTCTTGTCATGTCAACGTGTTGATGGAAGGATTCAACACTTACACCCACCTCGCAAATGCACCTTATATCACGGGTGGATTAAGTTATACTGTATAGTCGGTATAGTAGCTTCATTTCAGAGGTTGAAACAACCTCCATGCAACTGCAAATGCACAAGCGCCTGCCTCTTTGACTGGGAGCCCGGCATAAACTTGACCTCTCGTCAGCACCAAGTGGTGAGACATCACCGCTGAAGGCAGACAGCGCAGGACCGGCGCACCGCTGCATGACCCATCTTGCTGGGAGCGACGGCGGAAATCGGTGGAAGTGGACGGTGGAAATCGGTGCCGGTGGAGTTGGTCTCCCCAAACTCTCAGGCAGTTGGCGCCACAGGAGTTGGTGGTTGACGAATTTGGGCAGTGAGAAGTAGGATGAAGTAGGCATTTCAGACGGGTAAACTGGTACGAGTATAGGAAACCACCAAGTCGAAGTGAAGCAACGACCACGGAGTATCCATGCTCAATTGTATGCTTCATCGTGTCTGTATCAGTGTATCATGTCTTGGCTTTTCGAAGGTGTAAGAAACTGTGTTGCAGCTGAGTGAAGGTCTTGGTGCCTGTCTATGTTCGACCAGCCAGAGTCTTGCTGCGGAGCAGATCTCGTGCTCAGTTTCTTCGTCACATCCCACGACATCTCTCATCTCATGGCATCTCCACCCTAGGGATCCACTGCCACCTTCTCAGGAGGTACGACTGGGCCCTCCAAGCCTACATAAATAGTCTCCGTCCTCACCTTCTGAGAAGGTACGACTGGATCCCCAGGGCCAGGGGCGCAGGTTGATTGAGACCGGCTGTGACCGGCTGTGATGTCGATGGGACAGGGTCCCGTCCAGACTTCCTAGAGACAGACGTTCCCACACCAGACGAATGGGACTGGAATCCTGGAAATAGATACCATCGATACAACATTATACATGTTGCCCATGAAAAATGACCCAATGTAGAGAACTAATATACATCACTCTTCTTCCAGTCGCATGGATGGTCTGGGGTTGGTGGTCTGGAAAATACGCCGTTGGCTTGTTCGGTTTGGAGAGGCCACCGCGGGGTGAATGAAGGCTGGACAATGAAGGAAAGGAACGTCTGACTGAGACTGAGAACACTAAGAAGTTTCCAAACACTGAGAACACTGAGACTGAGACTGGTAAGTTTCCGATGCTCGGGTCGGTAAAGGCAAGTGCCTGAAGATCCCAAACAAAAGATCTTCAGCCTTCCTTCTCCTTCTCCTTTGGTCCCGTTTTATTCAAGACTTGGATCATCTTGGAGTGTTTTCTTTGACTGGGGCAGCTGATAGCTGGTTTTTTGTGTCGCGGGATCATTCCACGATCATTGCTGGCTCGTTATTGAGGTGTTGAATTGTGAAAATTGCTGCTTAAGGTTGTCACATGAGTTTCATACATTTGGTGAAATTGTCCACTGCTCATGACATGCACGAGAAAGGTTGGATTGAATCCGCTTTGTGCCAATTGGTTCAGCTTTGCACCAACCAAGCTGCTATGGCACAATGTAGCCATAAGGATTCTCTTCAGAAATGTCACGAAGACATGCGCTCATCTTCTCCTCCTTCTTCCAAATCCACTTTCCATCCTGTCACGAGCAAACTGGCAAAAAAACAATGCCACAATCAGTTGAGACACTGTGAGAGTCATTGAAACAGGAAAAACTATCCTTCGAGCTGTAGATGTCAATCTTGGACGCGGCGATGGACAGTTTCTCCTTCTTTTCGATTGTCTGAAGCAAACGACAGTCGAGTCTCAACAAGAGCAGCCAAAACAAACTTGAGACAAGGCAACTTCTGAGCATATGGCTTCTTTGAGGTCATCAACCTCATCAAACTGCCGATGGCCCATAACCAAGTGACGACGTCTTGACAACCAGGCACATTTACAGGAAGCATGACAAGATATGACAAGTCAGCAAGAAGGGCACAGCAAAGCTAAGGTCATTGCGTTCAGCAATTCTCCCTTGACTTGGAAAGCGTTGCCAATCTCCTTGAACTTCTCTTGGTCCAGTGATTCCGAAAAAGACACTGAACACCAAAACGCACACAAGGTCTTTAGCAACCTGAGAAGAACAAGAGGAGATATTCAGGAACTCCGCTCTTT